TAATTACATATCTGCAATCATGCAAGAGGGTCTGATTAAGTGTCCGAGTGTTCGAACCCTAATGTATGCGAAATGGCTAGTAAGCCCCATAATTACATATCTACCATAATGCAAGATGATCCGAATACGTGTCCATGTGTTTAAACCCCTAATGCGTGAGAAATGGCAAGCAAACACCATAATTACATATCTGCCATCACGCAAGCGGATCCGATTAAGTGTCCGAGTGTTTATCCCTAATGCGTGAGAAATGGCATATAAACACCATAATTAAATATCTGCCATCATGCAAAAGGGTCTGAATAAGTGTCCGAGTGTTCGAAATGGCAAGTAAACACCATAATTACATATATGCCATCATGCAGGAGGATCCGAATACGTGTCCGTTTGTTTAAACCCTAATGGATGAGAAATGGCAGGTAAACACCATAATTACATATTAGCCACGGTACATGACGGTCCGAATAATTTTTTGAGTGTTTAAACCCGAATGCATGAGAATTGGCAAGTAAACACCATAATTATATTTCTGCCATCATGCAAGAGGGTCTGAATATGTGTTCGAGTGTTCAAATCCTAATGCACGAGAAACGGCAAGTAAACAGCATAATTACATATCTGCCATCTTGCAAGATGGTCCGAATAATTGCCCAAGTGTTCGAACGCTAATGCATGAGAAATGGCAAGTAAAGACCATAATTACATATCTGCCATCATGGAAGAGGGCCTGAATAAATGTCCGAGTGTTCGAACCCAAATTTATGGGAAATGGCTAGTAAACACCATAATTACATATATGCCTTCATACAAGAGGATCCGAAAACGTGTCCGTGTGTTTCAACCCTAATGCATGAGAAATGGCAAGTAAACACCACAATTACATATCTGGCATCATGTAAGAGGGTCTGAATATGCGTTCGAGTGTTCAAATCCTAACGCATGAGAAACGGCAAGTAAACACCATAATTACATATCTGCCATTATGCAAGATGGTCCGAATAAGTGTCCGAGTGTTCGAACGCTAATGCATGAGAAATGGCAGGTAAACACCATAATTACATATCTGCCATCATGCAAGAGAATCCGAATACGTGTCCATGTGTTTAAACCCTAATGCTTGAGAAATGGCAATTAAACACCATAATTACATATCTGCCATCGTGCAAGAGGGTCCGAATAAGTGTCCGAGAGTTTAAACCATAATGCATGAGAAATGGCAAGTAAACACCATAATTACATATCTGGCCTACAAGAGGGTCTGAATAAGTGTCCGAGTGTTCGAACCCAAATGTATGAGAAATGCCTAGTAAACACCATATTTACATGTCTGCCATCATGCAAGAGGATCCGAATACGTGTCCGTGTGTTTGAACTCTAATGCATGAGAACTGGAAAGTAAACACCACAATTACATATCTGCCATCATGCAAGAGGGTCTGAATAAGTGTCCTAGTGTTTAAACGGTAATGCACCAGAAACGGCAAGTAAGCACGACAATTACATATCTGCCATCAAGCAAGAGGGTCCGAATAGGTGTCTGAGTGTTCGAACCCTAATGCATGGGAAATGGCAAGTAAACACCATAATTATAATCTGCCATCATGCAAGAGGGTCCGAATAAGTGTCCGAGTGTTTAAACCCCAATGCAAGAGAAAGGGCGAGTAAACACCATAATTATATATCTGCCATCATGCAAGAGGGTCCGAATTAGTGTCCGAGTTTTTAAACCCCAATGCAAGAGAAATGGTGACTAAACAACATAATTACATATCTACAATCATGCAAGAGGGTTTGATTAAGTGTCCGAGTGTTCGAACCCTAATGTATGCAAAATTGCTATTGAACATCACAATTACATATCTGCCATAATGCAAGAAGATCCGAATACGTGTCCGTGTGTTAAAACCCTAATGCATGAGAAATGGCAAGTAAACACCATAATTACATATCTGCCATCACGCAAGCGGATCTGATTAACTGTCCAAGTGTTTAACCCTAATGCGTGAGAATTTGCATTTAAACTCCATAATTACCTATCTGTCATCATGCAAGAGGGTCTGATTAAGTGTCCGAGTGTTCGATCCCAAATGTATGAGAAATGGCTAATAAACACCATAATTAAATATCTGCCATCATGCAGGGGGATCCGAATACGTGTCCGTGTGTTTAAACCCTAATGCATGAGAAATGGCAAGTAAACACCACAATTACATATCTGCTATCATCCAAGATGGTCCGAATAAGTGTCCGAGTGTTCGAACGCTAATGCATGAGAAATGGCAAGTAGACACCATAATTACATATCTGCCATCATGCAAGAGGGTCCGAATAAGTTTCCCAGTGTTTAAACCTTAATGCATGAGAAACGGCAAGTAAACACCATAATTACATATCTGGCATCATGTAAGAGGGTCTGAATATGTGTTCGAGTATTCGAATCCTAATGCACGAGAAACGGCAAGTAAACAGCGTAAATACATATCTGCCATCATGCAAGATGGTCCGAATAAGTGGCCGAATAAGTGTCCGAGTGTTCGAATGCTAATGCATGAGAAATGGCAAGTAAATACCATAATTACATATCTGCCATGATACGAGACGGTCCGAATAAATGTCCGAGTGTTCGAACGCTAACGCATGAGAAATGGCAAGTAAACACCATAATTACATATCTACCATCATGCAAGAGGGTCTGAATAAGTGTCCGAGTGTTCGAACCCAAATGTATGAGAAATGGCTAGTGAACACCATAATTACATATATGCCATCATGCAAGAGGGTCCGAATAAGTTTCCGAGTGTTTAAACCTTAATGCATGAGAAATGGAAAGTAAACACCATAATTACATATCTGACATCATGCAAGAGGGACTGAATATGTGTTCTAGTGTTCGAATCCTAATTCACGAGAAACGGGAGGTAAACACCATAATTACATATCTGCCATCCTGCAAGAGGGTCCGAATAGGTGTCCGACTGTTCAAACCCTAATGCATGAGAAATTGCAAGTGAACTCCATAATTAAATATCTGCCATCATGCAAGAGTGTCCGAATAAGTGTCCGAGTGTTTAAACCGCAATGTAAGGGAAATGGCGAGTAAACACCATAATTGCATATCTGCAATCATGCAAGAGGGTCTGATTAAGTGTCCTAGTGTTCGAACCCTAATGCTAGTAAACACCATAATTACATATCTGCCATCATGCAAGATGATCCGAATACGTGTCCGTGTGTTTAAACCCTAACGCATGAGAAATGGCAAGTAAACACCATAATTACATATATGCCATCACGCAAGCGGATCCGATTAAGTGTTCGAGTGTTTAACCCTAATGCGTGACAAATGGCATGTAAACACCATAATTACATATCTTCCATCATGCAAGAAGGTCTGAATAAGTGTCCGAATGTTCGAACCCTAGTGTATGAGAAATGGTTACTAAACACCATAATTACATATCTGCCATCATGCAACTGAATACGTGTCCGTTTGTTTAAACCCTAATGGATGAAATGGCAGGTAAACACCAGAATTACATTTTTGCCCTGATACAAGACGGTCAAAATAAGTGTCCGAGTGTTCGAACGCTAATGCATGAGAAATGGCAAGTAAACACCATAATTACATATCTGCCATCATGCAAGAGGGTCTGAAAAATTTTCCGGGTGTTTAAACCCAAATGCATGAGAAATGGCAAGCAAACACAATAATTACATATCTGTCATCATGCAAAAGGGTCCGAATAAGTGTCCGAGTGTTCAAACGGTAATGCATGGGAAATGGAAAGTAAACACCATGACTAGATATCTGCCATCATGCAAGAGGGTCCGAATAAGTGACCGATTTTTTAAACCCTATTGCAAGAGAAATGGCAGGTAAACAACATAATTATATATCGGCCGCCATGCAAATGGGTCCGAATAAGTGTCCGAGTGTTTAAACCCTAATGCATGAGAAATGGAAAGTAAACACCATAATTGCATATCTGCCATCAAGCAAGTGGGTCGGAATAAGTGTCTGTGTGTTCGAACCCTAATGCATGAGAAATGGAAATTAAACATCATAATTACATATCTGCCATCATGCAAGAGGGTTCGAATTCGTGTCCGAGTGTTTAAACCCTAATGCAAGAGATATGGCGAGTAAACACGATAATTACATATCTGCCGTCATGCAAGACGATCCGAATAAGTGTACGAGTGTTTAAAACCCTATGCAAGAGAAATGGCAAGTAAATACCATAATTACATATCTGCAATCATGCAAGAGGGTCTAATTAAGTGTCCGAGTGTTCGAACCCTATTGTATGCAAAATGGCTAGTAAACACCATAATTACATGTCTGCCATCATGCAAAAGGGTCTGAATAAGTGTCCTAGTGTTTAAACCCTAATGCACCAGAAACGGCAAGTAAGCACGATAATTACATATCTGCCATCATGCAAGAGGGTCCGAATAGGTATCCGAGTGTTCGAACCCTAATGCATGAGAAATGGCAAGCAAACACCATAATTACATATCTGCCATCACGCAAGAGGGTCCGAATAAGTGTCCGAGTGTTTAAACCCCAATGCAAGGGAAATGGTGAGTAAACGCCATAATTACATATCTGCCATTATGCAAGAGGGTCCGAATAAGTTTCCGAGTATTTAAACCCCAATGCAAGAGAAATGGTGAGTAAACACCATAATTTGAATTTGTCAGAAGCTGAGACAACGCAAAGTTAGTCTTAAGCTTCTTAATAAAAAAGATTTTAGTGATCTATCCACTCGTGTCCTTATCTCTAAGGCTAGTTTGGATCTTGCTCAAATTAAGCTTGATAAGCATCCTTTGAACTGTGGGCTTCAATCTGTGGAGAGAGAGGAGTTGAAAAGATACATTGAGCTTAGCAATTTGGAAGGGCTCTTCAAAAATCCAGAGTCCAATGGCTTGGTCTGGGGGATAGGAATAGCAGCTTCTTTTTTAGGTCTGTTAAGAGTAATATTAATAGAGGTAAAATCATGAGTGTGGTTATGGAAGATGGTACTAAGTCCACTAAGATAACTGATATTCATGATACTTTTGTCCAGTTCTATACCAAGCTGTTTGATACCCCTATCTCGGGGGAGTACAATGGTCTTGAGCGCATTAAATCTTTGGTGAATAAAAAGGTTTCCAATTCTCAATCGGCTCTTTTAGCTAAACCTGTTTCGGATGTTGAAATCACTATAGGCCTATTTCTTGTTGCAACACCATCTACAAATGCATTGCCAAGATAATAGCTAACAGAGTCAAATTGGTGCTTCCTGATCTTATTGATCCTGTGCAATCTGCTTTTGTCCAGGGTAGAAGAATCTCGGACAACATCTTTCTGTCCCAAGAGATTATGAGGGGTTACCACCGGAGTTCTAAAACTCCGAAGTGCGCTATGAAGGTGGACATCATGAAAGCCTACGATACTGTGAGATGGGAGTTTATTATTGATATCCTCACTGCTATGAACTTTCCTCCTTGCATGATAAATTGGATCAATGCTTGTATGACTAGTCCTTCTTTCTCTATTTGCATTAATGGTAGTCTTCATGGGTATTTTAAAGGGGCTAGGGGGCTTAGGCAAGGAGACCCTATGTCCCCTTATCTTTTTGTGTTGGCTATGGAGGTTTTGGCTAGAATTCTTGCTGAAAAATCTAGAAACCCCCTTTTTAAGTTCCATTGGAGATGTGAGAAGACTAAAATTGTTAATTTGTGTTTTGCTGATGACCTTATGATCTTCTGTAGAGGGGATCCGGGGACTGTTAGTCTCATCATGCAAGGTTTGGAGGAATTCAGGAAATTGTCCGGTCTCACTCCTAATCCTAATAAGAGTAATATTTTTTTTTCCGGATGTAGTAGTGAGCTTAAAGCTAACATTTTGCAAATTGCCAAATTCACTGAGGGCTCCCTCCCTGTGAAATACTTGGGTGTGCCTTTGATCACCACTAAGCTTAGAGCGTCTGATTGCCAAACTTTGGTTGATAGGATGACTAAAAGGATTAAAAGCTGGACCAATAAATTGCTATCTTATGTTGGAAGAGCCCAACTCATCCAGTCTATTCTTTTTTCGATGCAAGTTTATTGGTCCTCCATTTTATTCTCCCTAAGAGGGTTATCCGTGACATAGAAAATCTTCTCAGATCTTTCCCTTGGTCTGGGACGGAGCTGAAAAAACATAGTGCTAAAATTGCTTGGAAGCAAATTTGCAAAAAAAAGATGAGGGTGGGCTTGGTTTTAAGGATATGGAGGTTTGGAATAAAGCGGCTATAGCCAAACATGTTTGGTATTTGTTTTCGGGTGGGGAATGTTCTATGTGGTGTCAATGGGTTAAGTCATACTTACTTAAGGGTAAGAGTTTTTGGGGTATTAAGGTGCCTAGTGATCCCTCCTGGGTTTGGAGGAAACTATTGTCACTTAGGGATTTAATTTTCCCCCTTATCAAATTCAAACTTGGTAATGGAGGAAATGTGTTCCTCTGGTATGATAACTGGCACCCCTTTGGTTCGCTTCTGCTTCGGTATGGTCCTAGGATTTTGTATGATACCAACCTTCCTGATAGTTCTAAGGTTAGTTCTATTATCTCAAATGATTCTTGGAATTAGCCTTTTCCTAACTCTTGGGAGATACAGGAATGGATTGCTGCCACTCCTCATTCTCTTAAACCTTCCCTTGATTCCCCTGATATTCCTGTGTGGAGCTTGACTGCTGATGGCTCTTTTTCTATCCACTCTGCTTGGGAATGTTGGAGGGACAAGGGCCCAAAGGTTACTTGGTCTAATCTTATTTGGGGTCCTCCTGTTATCCCTAGGGTTAGTTTCATTGTGTGGCTGGGTATTCATGAGAGACTTAACACCGGGGATAGGCTCCAAATCTTTGGTCTCCTTACTAGCCCTAGCTGCCCTTTATGTTGTGCCCTTGAGGAAAACCATTCCCATCTGTTCTTTAGGTGTCACTACTATTTGGGCTGTTATCCAAGCTAAATGTAATTCCCATTGGCCTTCTCTGCCCTGGTTGGAACTTGTTGAGTTTGCTACTAAATCCATCAATTGTAAATCTCTGAAATCTGTGATTTTGAAACTCTCTTTTCTCTGCACTATCTGCCACATTTGGATGGAGAGAAATAGTAGAATCTTTAGTAAGGTTTTCAAACCTGAAGAGGTTGTCACTAACTCTATCATCCAAATGGTCAGGGGTAGACTCCTTTCTATGGAAAATGTGAAAGCTTATGCAGGTGACAACTGGTATTTGGAACAATGGAACCTGCCCTCTAAAATCCTGTTGCAGTCCCAAACTGCTGCAGTTGAAAGGAATTTGAGTGGTGTGAGTAATCCTACTTTGAGAGTTGAGTGATGGTGAGCAGATATGGAGTGTTTTGTTTAACAAAGGGTGCTGTTTTGCAGATGGTTTTTATTCTCAGATTCTATCAGCTATTATGGACCCCAAATGTTTACAATATCTGGAGCCTATGAAGGGAGGGTTGAGGGATGTGAGCCAGTACAGATACTATTGTAAATGTGGGTTGAGTGGGGGGAGGAAATACATATATTTTCTAACATGTGCCATATTATATATATATCTCCTTTCTTGTGGGTCGAGTGAGGGGAGGTCCTGTACTGAGTGCTTGTTGTTTCTTCTTCTTTATGACTCAATATATTGTTATGGCAACTCCTTTCTATTATCTGTTGAACAGGTTAAGCAGCAACTTGTAAGGTGGGATTGCTCCTGGCAGTTTCTTTCGGAATGTTGTTGGGCTTGTTATTGGGCTGTGGCTGCAAGTAGCCTGCTGTTGGTGACTGCTTTTGGGCGTTGGCAGCAATCTGTGCCTGGTATTGCCTGGTGGTGTGACGGTGACGGCAACCAGCGTCCCTATTTGACGTTGTACGCTGTGTGGATATGCTCTTTGGTGATGGCTGCAAGTTGCGCCTTGCCTAGGCATCTCAGTGGGTTCAAAAGCTGTTTTCATTTCTGTCTGTACATATACCCGTATAGTGTGTTTGTAATTTTGTATACCATAATTTTGTCCCCTCTGTGGGCTGTTTTGTCTTTAGTTCTGGCCTTGTTTGAGACTAAGTACTGGGCTGGTGTTTTGTTGGTCTTCATGTTGGTCCTTGTATTACCCCAGTTCGGTGCAACTACTGGGCTGGTGTTGTATTTGTGCAAGACCCCTGTCTGTTGTGGGGACATGGGTTTTGAAAAATTATTATGTTCTGCTTAGTTGTATTGGCTGCGTGTGTTCCCGGTCTAGTGGGTTGGTAGATTTTTGTTTCCTTTTCAGTTTGGGTGTCTTTGTTGTAGTTTGTGTTAGGGCCTGGGGGATGCCCCTTGTATTTGTGTAAATTTTCCTGTTTATTTATTTCTTATTCACCCAAAAAACAAACACCATAATTACATATCTGCAATCATGCAAGAGGGTCTGGTTAAGTGTCCCTGTGTTTGAACCCGAATGTATGCAAAATGGCTAGTAAACATCATAATTACATATCTGCCATCATGCAATATGATCGGAATACGTGTCCGTGTGTTTAAACCCTAATGCATGAGAAATGGCAAGTAAACAACATAATTACATATCTCCCATCATGCAAGCGGATCCGATTACGTGTCGAAGTGTTTAACACTAATGTGTGAGAAATGGCATGTAAACACCACAATTACATATCTGCCATCATGCAAAAAAGTGTCCGAGTGTTCGAACCCTAATGTATGAGAAATGTCTAGTAAACACCATAAGTACATATCTGCCATCATGCCGGAGGACCCGAATACATGTCCGTTTGTTTAAACCCTAATGGATGAGAAATGGCAGTTAAACACCATAATTACATATCTGCCATGATGCAAGAGGGTCCGAATAAGTGTCCGAATAAGTGTCCGAGTGGTCGAATGCTAATGGATGAGAAAGGGCAAGTAAACAACATAATTACATATCCGGCATCACGCAAAATGTCCGAGTGTTTAAACCCTAATGCATGAGAAATGGCAAGTAAACATAATAATTACATATCTGCCATCATGCAAGAGGGTCTGAATATGTGTCCGAGTGTTCGAACCCAAATGTGTGAGAAATGGCTAGTAAACACCATAATTACATATCTACAATGATGCAAGAGGATCCGAATACGTGTCCGTGTGTTTAAACCCCAATCCACGAGAAATGGCAAGTAAACACCACAATTACATATCTGCCATCATGCAAGAGGGTCTGAATAAGTGTCCGAGTGGTTGAATGGTAATGCATGAGAAATGGCATGTAAACACCATAACTACATATCTGCCATCATGCAAGAGGGTCCGAATAAGTTTTCGAGTGTTTAAACCTTAATGCATGAGAAATGGAAAGTAAACACCATAATTACATATCTGACATCATGCAAGAGGGTCTGAATATGTGTTCCAGTGTTCGAATCCTAATGCACGAGAAACGGAAAGTAAACACCATAATTACATATCTGCCATCCTGCAAGAGGGTCCGAATAGGTCCTACTGTTCGAACCCTAATGCATGAGAAATGGCAAGTAAACACCATAATTACATATCTGCCATCAAGCAAGAGGGTCCGAATATGTGTCCGAGTGTTTAAACCCAATGCAACGGAAATGGCGAGTAAACACCATAATTGCAACAAGTTTTCGAGTGTTTAGACCCTATTGCATAAAAAATGGCAAGTAAACACCATAATTACATATCTGCCATCATGCAAAAGGGTCCGAATAAGTGTCTGAGTGTTCGAACGGTAATGCATGAGAAATGGAAAGTAAACACCATAACTACATATCTGCCATCATCCAAGAGGGTCTGAATAACTGTCCGATTGGTCAAACCCTAATGCATGAGAAATGGCAGGTAAACAACATAATTATATATCTGCCATCATGTAAGGGGGTCCAAATAAGTGTCCGAGTGGTTAAACACTAATGCAAGAGAAATGGCAGGTAAACAACATAATTATATATCTGCCATATTGCAAAAGGGACCGAATAAGTTTCCGAGTTTTTAACCCCTAATGCATGAGAAATGGAAAGTAAATGCCATAATTACATATCTGCCATCAAGTAAGAGGGTCTGAATAAGTGTCCGAGTGTTGGAACCCTAATGCATGAGAAATGGAAAGTAAACACCATAATTACATATCTGCCATCATGCAAGAGGTTCCGAATACGTGTCCAAGTGTTTAAACCCTAATGCACGAGAAATGGCAAGTAAACACCATAATTACATATCTACCATCATATAAGAGGGTCCGAATAAGTGTCCGAGTGTTTAAACCCCACCGCAAGAGAAATGGCGTGTAAACACCATAATTACATATCTGCAATCAGGCAAGGTGGTCTAATTAAGTGTCCAAGTGTTCGAACCCTAATGTATGCAAAATGGCTAGTAAACACCATAATTACACATCTGCCATCATGCAAGATGATCCGAAAACGTGTCCGTGTGCTTAAACCCTAATGCATGAGAAATGGCAAGTAAACACCGTAATTACATATCTGCCATCATGCAAGAGGGTTAGAATAAGTGTCCGAGTGTTTAAACCCTAATGCACCAGAAACGGCAAGTAAACCCCATTATTACATATCTGCCATCATGCAACAGGGTCCGAATAGGTGTCCGAGTGTTCGAACCCTAATGCATGAGAAATGGCAAGTAAACACGATAATTACATATCGGCCATCAGGCAAGAGGGTCCGAATAAGTGTCCGAGTGTTTAAACCCCAATGCAAGAGAAATGGCGAGTAAACACCATAATTACGTATCTACCATCATGCAAGAGGGTTCGAATAAGTGTCCGTGGGTTTAAACCCTAATGCAAAAGCAGTGGCGAGTAAACACCAATATTGCATATCTGCAATCATGCAAGATGGTCAGATTAAGTGTCAGAGTGTTCGAACCCTAATGTATGCAAAATGGCAAGTGAACACCACAATTACATATCTGCCATCATGCAAGATGATCCGAATATTTGTCCGTGTGTTTAAACCCTAATGCATGAGAAATGGCAGATAAACACCACAATTATATATCTGCCATCATAATTACACATCTGGCATCATGCAAGAGAGTCTGAATAAGTGTCCGAGCGTTCGAACGCTAATGCATGAGAAATGGTAACTAAACACCATAATTACATATATGCCGTCATGCAAGAGGGTCCGAATATGTTTCCGAGTGTTTAAACCCTAATGCATGAGAAATGGTAAGTAAACACCATAATTACATATCGGCCATCATGCAAAAGGGTCCGAATAAGTGTCCAATTGTTCGAACGGTAATGCATAAGAAATGGAAAGTAAACACCATAACTACATATCTGCCATCATGCAAGAGGGTCCGACTAAGTGTCCGTGGGTTTAACACCAATGCAAAAGAAGTGGCGAGCAAACACCATTACTGCATATCTGCAATCATGCAACAGGGTTAGATTGAGTGTCAGAGTTTCGAACCCTAATGTTTGCAAAATGGCAAGTGAACACCATAATTACATATCTGCCATCATGCAAGATGATCTGAATATGTGTCCGTGTGTTTAAACCCTAATGCATGAGAAATGGATGATAAACACAACAATTACATATCTTCCATCATGCAAGACGGTCCGAATAAGTGTCCGAGTGGTCGAACGCTAATGCTTGAGAAATGGCAAGTAAACACCATAACTACGTATTTGCCATCATGCTAGAGGGTCCGAATAAGTTTCCGAGTGTTTAAACCTTAATGCACGAGAAATGGCAAGTAAACACCATAATTACATATCTGGCATCATGCAAGAGAGTCTGAATAAGTGTCCGAGCGTTCGAACGCTAATGCATGAGAAATGGCAAGTAAACACCATAATTACATATCTGCCATCATGCAAGAGGGTCCGAATATGTTTCCGAGTGTTTAAACCCCAATGCATGAGAAATGGTAAGTAAACACCATAATTACATATCTGCCATCATGCAAAAGGGTCTGAATAAGTGTCCGATTGTTTGAACGGTAATGCATAAGAAATGGAAAGTAAACACCATAACTACATATCTGCCATATGCAAGAGGGTCCGAATAAGTGTCTGTGGGTTTA